TTTTTTACCCCAATAGGTCGTTCAGATGGAGTAAATGATGACAATCCAGGAGATGTTGATATAGGAGATTCCGGAGTGGGATTATCTGATTGTGACGAGTCGAAGTTCACACTTTGGGATTGTCTTCGACCAACTTGTCTTGCTGTGGGGACATCATCTTTGAATTTTTCGAAATTTTTAACCATATTCCAGACATGATCAAATTTGAAACCTTTTTTGTACTTCGGTTCTTGCATAAATAACATCTTTGCTCGAACTAACTGTAAATTATAGTGAACATCAAGTTATGTATTTCAACAATAATAATAAAATTCAAACGATAATTAATAGAATACTTACAATATCTTCATCTGAAGCACCACTTGGATTCAGATTCTCTACTTGTCTCAAGCACGCATTCAATTTCCTTACTTCATTACTTATAATTTCCATTCGAGAACGAATTGATCGGCTCGTACGCATCTCAAAATGCTGATCTCGAAGTTCATTGTATTTGTCCTCCACACGAGACCAAAATGCATCTCGAGACTGGTTTCTACCGATAATAGGGTCTTGAGAAATATCCAAGAATACTTGACAAAGGAGCACATCTTCAGTAACCGTGTACCCAGTTGATCGAACAGACATTTTTTTGTAAAAAGCGGTTGGTTTGGAGATCAGAAATACTTTGAAGAAATACTTCGAATTGGGTGGCTTGAAGTAGAAACCGTGAATGTTATTTATAGCCAATCCAAATTTGTTTTTTTTGTTTGAATTTGAATTTGAATTTGAATTTGAATTTGCGGTTGGTTTGAATTTGTCGGTGGTCAACATTTGAAATTGAATCATTTTGTACAAACTGATCAGCTTTACACATTATCCAACGTTGTCGGTGGGAATCAATTTTTGAAATCAGGTCAGCTTTACACATTGTCCAACGTATACACAGCTCAGCTCTCCTTGAATTGTGTGAAAGCTTTGTACGAGTGGGAATCAATTTTTGAAATCAGGTCAGCTTTATACATTGTCTAACGTATACACAGCTCAGCTCTCCTTGAATTGTGTGAAAGCTTTGTACGAGTGGGAATCAATTTTTAAAATCAGGTCAGCTTTACACATTGTCCAACGTATACACAGCTCAGCTCTCCTTGAATTGTGTGAAAGCTTTGTACAAGTGGGAATCAATTTTTGAAATCTGTCAGCTTTACACATTGTCCAAAGTATACACGGCTCAACTCTCCTTGAATTGTGTGAAAGCTTTGTACGAGTGGGAATCAATTTTTGAAATCAGGTCAGCTTTACACATTATCCAACGTATACAGCTAAAAGCAAATTTGAATTTTGTGACAAATTGATAACAGCTGGAAAGCATTTCCTAAAATCAGCTCAACTTTACACATTGTTCAATGTATACAGCTAAGCAAAGTTTTATAAATAGCATACTAGATTAGGTACATCCACACAATTACTCGTTGTTGTGTTAAAATTATTATTCTCCATTTCTGCATACTTCAGTCATTCTTTTCTTACTTCAAAAATGAATTTCGATGTTGGAGGTCCATCATACTTATCATCATCTTCATCTTCGGATGATGATAATTTTCTGTCCAATATCATTGCAGAGATTGATGAAACCGAAGAAGTAATTTGTGAGTACATCAACAACAACATGATCCTCGTTAACAATTTACGTCAACACAACTACCAACCGATCCATGGTGGCTCGATTCCTGGTCATGCAGTGATCAACCGCGATCGAGAAAATGCGCATCAGAATTTGGTCATAGATTACTTTGCCGATAATCCACGTTTTGGAGAAGATATGTTTCGTCGTCGATATCGGATGTCAAGAAGTTTGTTCCTTCGTATTGTTGATGCAGTGAAAGATCATGACTATTACTTCCAACAACGAAGTGATGGACTTGGTAGAATGGGATTATCACCGTTACAGAAAGTAACAGCTGTTTTTCGCATGTTGGCATACGGTCTACCAGCTGATGCTACGGACGAATACGTTAAAATAGGTGAGTCAACAGCAATTGAAAGTATGACAAAATTTTGTCGTGCTATGGTGGAAATATTCGCAGAGCGGTATCTACGAACACCTAACGCTAACGATATTGCTAGGCTACTCTATATTGGAAAAAAACGTGGTTTTCCAGGAATGTTAGGAAGTCTTGATTGTATGCATTGGAAATGGAAAAATTGTCCAACAGCATGGTCTGGGCAATACACAGGACGTAGTGGGTCACCAACTATTATCCTCGAAGCTGTGGCAGATTATGATCTTTGGATATGGCACGCATATTTTGGTATGCCAGGCACCAATAATGATATCAATGTGCTGGAGTCATCTAATCTTTTCTCTAACCTAGCTCAAGGTATTGCTCCTCCCGCTCACTATGTTATTCAAGGAAAAGAGTATAATATGGGTTATTATTTAGCTGATGGTATATATCCGAAATGGGCTACTATTGTACAAACAATCCAACAGCCACAAGGTAGGAAGAAAAAATATTTTGCCATGAAACAGGAAGCATGTAGAAAAGATGTAGAACGTGCGTTCGGAGTTCTCCAATCACGATTTGCAATCGTGGCAGGATCAGCACGTTTTTGGAAAAAACATGTATTACATGACATAATGACTGCATGCATTATTATGCACAATATGATAATCGAGGATGAACGTGATCTTTATGCACCAATTCAAGAAGTGAGGGAAGCACCAACACCAGAAGTTGATATGGTAGCAGATGAAACTACAAGATTTACTCAATTTATTGCACGTTACGGAAAAATCAAGGATAAAGATGCCCATATTGCGCTTCGTAATGCATTGATAGATCATCTATGGGAGGAATACACTAATTCAGATAGTTAAGTGCATACTAAATTTGTAATTTTTATATTGTTGTTAATGTTTAATTATTTTCTTGTATTTTATTTCCTGTTGTGTTCTTGAATGTAATATTTTGGCAATATCAATAATAAAAATATAATATTTTAGCAATCAAGTTATTTTAATTAATAAAATAATATTTTATTGTTTTATTAGTTTAATTTTTAAATAATAAATCATTTTGTTTGGAAAATATGTGAAAAAATAAAATTTGATATGTGGGGTTAATTGTTGAAATAGTTAAAAATATAGGGAATAAAAAATAATCATATAAAAGTAGATAAAAAGAAAGATACTGAGAATATTCCTTTTTGGTGCAAAAAATGGTGCAATGGGTTGGAGATGAATTACTGTTAGATGTGACTTTTGCACCATTTTGGTGCAAAATTTGCACCATTTTGAGGCAAAGGGTTGGAGATGCCCTTAGTGATAGCTAGATTCTTTCATGCAATTTAATAGTTACTGTAGGTTCAGATTATTGATGATTGATCACAAGATGTTTGCATTGCCCCTCCAGTTGATACAGCCTCCTCTGATCTGCTCTGTCTGCTCGTGCTCGCATGCAGGTTTCTCGTCGTCTCCAGCCTCCTCAACAATAGCCCAGCTACATGCTCGTCTGAGTGTTAGTCGCGGCCTCCATAGCCATCAGTCCTTTCAACAATTCGTTCCACATCTAATTAAGGAGGGATATCCACTGAGCAATCGCCTCATTGTCCGCCGCCTCGCCAATTGCCAAGTGCCATCACACACCACTACACCAGCCCACATCCAATAAGTCCATTCTGTTCCAAGTCCGAACCGCTCCACGCCCACCTGATTTCTTCACTCTACCATTTATGGAGTCTCCCTCTTTGAGAGACTTGGGGTTTTTAGATTGGTAAAAATAAAAAGGTCTTTTGCCCTTATTTTTCCTCCATACCTTACTCTTTAAATTGCCCAAATTTAACATGAAAAACAAATCACACCCATGATCATCAAGAGTCTCAATCACATCAGCGGTCCATGATTTAGTAGGCCGTCCCTGCAGTCTATTAGTTAAATCGCTCAAATTACATTCTTGCCGTTCGTCAACTGCAAGAGAACAATCCCTGAAGATCTGTTCTGGATCTTCCATAAAGTGATTGCATATCAAGCAAGGTAGTTCCAGCTCCATAGTTACGTTTTGATAAATTGTAACAAGTTAATTAGTCATCCTTTGCACTTGTTTGACACTCGCGATCCAAATTCGTCTCCGCAAGCCACTGGATCCCTCGCTACGAGATGAAGCACCGCTGCAGAGACCCTCCTCTGAACTGCACTTACCCGAAAATGGTAGTTTTGATATTAGTTGTTATGAGGGAGGTTCGGTGCTTTTACTTACTTATTTATTTATTTATTTTTGGATGTAAGACTTTGATGGTTCATGCTATACCACATGTAAACCAACCGGGAGCTTTAATGAAGTTTTGTGATGGCTGGGGCTTGTTTTGAACCCCATCCTTATTCTCAAAAAACACAAAAAAAAAACAAAAAAAAAACGAAAAAAGGGTAAAAAAAAGGAAAGAAAAGAAAAGAAAAAAGATATGCCCTTCCTTAGGTAACCGAATTATTGTGTCTAACTATCCTTTTAGTAGAGAACATTGTTAAGGATCCATTTCTACTTGCGTATGATATGTTCTTTACTCTTCATAGTCTATTTTAAGAGTGAAACCGATCCTAAGGTTCCACCTGCACTCGATCATTGTTTATGTTAGGCCCATGTGTCCAGATGAAGTAAAAAAGTAATCTGGAATTAAATAGCACTTGAAGGGATTGAATTGAAACAATTTATGAGAATTCGGGGACCTCATACTCCAAAACGATATACATTACTTGGAAATCCCTCATGTTGCTACCTATACCCTTGATTGGTGGGACTAATTTCAAAGCAACTTAAGCATTGGGGGCCCTAAGAGCAATTTCAATGACTTGAGCAGCTAAGTTTCAAGATAACTTAAAAAATTGAGGGATTTGGCAGCAATTTCTATGATTTCAGAGACTAATTTCAAAATATGAAAGATTTAAGGGGCTAATATCGAAAAAATCCAAAATTTTATTGAACTGGTAAAAAAAAAGGGACAGGGAGGAGAAAAGAGATGGAGATGAAGAAGAAACAAGAATTATACTTTGTTTTGGTAAGTGAAAAAAGTTCATTACCATGGCTTGAAAAGTACATCCAAATCTCAGGCATACCCCAGGATCCACTAATCGGTACAACAATTTTCAATCTAAAAGCATGAAACGATCACTAGGAATACCCGAATGCAAAATGCCCACATCAAAATGTGTGCTTTTGTGACCACAACAGCCTGCAATTCTGCTCTCTCCAAAACAAACTATTTCCTGTGCAACATTGGTAAACTGTGAACAAACTTGCCTCCGGTTATCCGAATGCTGCCACATTCATAACTGTCAGCATATTTTACGTGGTTATCTGCTTGAAACCCCAACATTTGTTGGGGGTCCATGATCAGTACGTACAGAATAATTCGCCAATTTAGTAAGGTTTAGTCACAACTCACCCATAAGCTTTAAAAGATATCTAAGATGGTGAAACTGCACTTCACCAGTAATCCTTACAAGAACACACCCCTCCCCTAAAATGGTGAAACCTATTGCGATCCCTAACCACAATCTCACGATCATAAGCCCTCGATATAATCTTACTCGCGTAATGACAATCTTTACAAACCCTCAAATTCTTTGAGATCCGAATTGTCTCACCTGGCTTAGTTTTTAATAGCCCAAATCCAATCGCTAGCTTCTCACTATGGTAATGCAGAGGATTCTCCTTCTCCTCCTCTTTAATATCATGTAAAACTCCGCCAATATCCGGCACATAACCTTCTAGTCTAATAGCATCCAGCATTTCATCAACCTTAGCATAAATTTCTTTAGCCTCAGGATGCGACATTCCACCAGCAATGAACTCATTAATTGCACCATCAAATTCAATCACGGACCAGCCTGGCTCCTTCTTCACCCCTAGCTCATTCATCAGAACCCTAATTTTTGCCACATCATCCCATCTACCAACAGACGCGTAGAGGTTAGCCAACAAAATGTACCTCCCGCTGTTTGTTGAATCTAATTCAATAACCCTGTTACCAATTTGTTCGCCCAAGTCAATAATCCCATGTATCTTGCATGCACCAAAAAGTGCACCCAAAACCCTAGCATCCGGATCCATTGGCATCTTATTCAAAACTTTTTTAGCTTCTTCAAAGAGCCCAGCTCTTCCAAGAATATCAACTAAGCATCCAAAATGCTCCATTTTGGGCGCAATGTTATAAGTGCGAACTATATAATCAAAATAGTATTGACCCTCATCAACAAGGCCAGAATGTGCACAAGCAGTGAGAACATTGAGAAGAGTGATATCGTCTGGAGGCACCATTGATCTCTCCATCTCTTTAAAAAGTTCAATTGCTTCCTCTCCTCGACCGTGGATTGCTAGACCTCCGATCATGCAGTTCCATGATGATAGGCCTTTGTTTTGTAAGCTTTTAAAGACATTTTGAGCCTTTTCTAGGCAACCACATTTGCAGTACATATCGATTATTGTGGTTGCAAGTTTAGGATCTACTTCGATCCTGTACTTTTCAATGTGTTTGTGTATCCATTGTCCTTGATCATGAGCACCTAAACCTGTGCAGGCTGAGAGCATACTAGCAGCAACAAACTTGTCAATCTTGATGCCCTCCTCCCTCATTTGGTCAAATAGGTCGAATGCATCCTTGTATCTCTCGGCCTGCATATACAATTGCAATTAGGTTCCAGCAACTTTTTTATTTTTATTTTTATTTTTATTGAAAAAATTGCAGCAAATCAACTTCTCAACGAAGACGAGTGAAGGATACAACAAGTATCATCTGTAAAAACAGGGGGGACTGTGTGGTTGACCCTTCGGATTATGTAGAGCTCCCTATAGACCTCCCACTTTATACCTTTGAGTTAATAATTCCTCTTGCACTACAACCTTTACCACAAAAGATGTTGTCCATGGATTAAATTCTTTCATGGACTGATTCAAGTTGACCATATATCGGTACCCGAAGATCAATCCAATGAGATCATCATCTTCTAGAATGTACACCTAATTCAAGTGAATCTTCATCATATTCCCACATAGTCCCTCAAAAATTGAATTGGGTTACACTGACCTCCTTTTGTGGTTGAAAGGCTTAAGATAGAGGTGATGCCAAGTAGAACGTTAACTAGAGACTTAGAAATGAGTTGTATTTACAGATCTTTGATCGTAGTTAAAGCCCAGCTTGATTACACGAAAGGTCTTTAATAAAAACTTTATCAAACCCAAATTTTTAATAAATATAACATGTTGAACTGATTTCGATTTCCTTAATGCATTCACATCCTAACACACCAATGAATACCGAAGTGATAGTTACCATTTGTTCTCAATGAACACAATTCAATATCATACCCAAAAGTAACACATCATAGGACTTCCCAAGTTGGCCAAGTCCAAAAAAACACTACCAGCGACAATACCTTCACATAAGCGGCAATCATGGCATTCCAAGAGACAGAACACCTGTCACCCATTCGATCAAACACCTGCCTCGCCTCCCCAACCAACCCCAACCTCGCAAGCCCGCTAATCACCGTCGTCCAACTCACCACACTCCTCTCCCCCATTCCATCAAACACCCTCAACGCATCACCCACCTCCCCAAAACTCAAATACATATGAACCAAACCATTCATCACATACCCATCTCCCCAAAACCCAAACTTCACCACATGGGCATGCACCATTTGCCCAAACTCGGCATCCCCGCTGTTCGTGATCCTATTGAGCAAGCAAGGGAAAGTGAAGCCGTTGGGCTGGAGAGGTTGGGAGAGCATGAGAGGGTAGAATCGGGTGGAGAGAGATTGAATGAGGGTGTTAAAGATGAAAGGGTCCGGGTTCGGGAGGGTGTTAAAGAGGGCGAGAGCGTAGTTTGGGTCGCCGGAGGGGGACGAGGGCGGAGAAATTTGATGCAGGCGGCCGGTGAGGTGGTTGTCGAGGTTGGGAGGCCAAGCGGATAAGCCTGGGGAGTGTAGTTGGTGGAGGTGGGCATGGAGGTGATGGGGGGAGAGGAGTGGGGCCGGTGGGGTGCGTGTGGGTGTGGGGTGTGGGGTGGGGCTGGGGTGAGGGGCAAGGATGGGTGGGGACATTTGCTGGATGGGGGGGGGTGGGGAGGGCGGGAAGAGGGTGGTCGACTGCTGGGGTTTTAGAAGGACTAGATTCGTCTGATTACTTTTTGGGTTTATTGCGAATAACACCACCGCCCCCCCCCCCCCCACACATCATCGCTGTATTTGCAGGTTTTACCTTTTTGGTAGTGTTTAGGGAGTTTACTTAGGGAAGGGAAGGAAGGGGAAGGAAGGAGAATTTTTCCCCTTCCTTCCCTTCCCCTCCATTACACCCTAATTTGGGGTGTAAGAATTTGGGCTAAATTTCCCCTCCATTCCCCTCCTCTACCCTCCAAAATAAAACTCCCAAACAAGGTTAAAATGAAATTTCCCTTCCCTTCCCCCTCTCTACCCTCCATCCAAACAGGCCATTTGAGAGCAACTGCAGCAGTTAGGGTTGTGAACAACTGTAGCTAGAATATACGTTACAACTAGAGTTGCAACAAACAGAACGCCACCCAATCCGACCGTACGTCTGAAACCATCAACCAAATAAGCTAGCTTTTATAACTTGCGTAAAAATAAGCACGCTAAATATATCAAACATGACGATTTCAAGCTGAACAAATACTGTACTCAGGTTGACAACGACCTCACCAGCACAAAGATTCAAGACCAGCTGATAGTTTTCTGTTTAACACGTACGCGATGCGATACTTCTCTCCATACGCAACTCAAGAATCAAGCCCAAGCAAAGAAGCTGCACACTGATCCTCTCCCTGGGGTCCAATTCCCACACCCAAAGAACCATTTTCCTCGATTTGGGCCGGGTTTGCGGATCATGCACTTGCTGCTCCTCACTCCGCACAAGCAATACAATACACACCATTTCCGGGCCCGTCACCGGTAATCGGGGCGCCGTCTGGGGCCACAAGTGAGCCCGTGATAGAGAAGCGGAAGCCCGAGCCCATTAGGAGAGAGACTAGACGGGCTGCATTACGAGCGTCATCAAGGCCCGAGTGACGCAGGCCTTGTTAGATCTGAATCATAAAACTTGAGATCTAAAACCATATAGTCATGATTAATTCAAAGAGATTAACAATAATCAAAAGAGCGGAAGCTTATACCTGAATCCCTGGATGAACCTTGAGATGGGTTTTGGATCTTCTAACCTTAGGGTTTCTCTAAATCCGAATTTCTCTAGCTAGATGGGGGTGTAGAGAATTAGAGAATGTAACCCTAGGTTAGGGACCATAACCCCTTATTTATAGATATTGTACTTTTGTAATTTAGCCCCTCAATAAATCACAATTACAACCTGGTATCTGCACATATAACCCCATGACTTATTTAAATACCCAATTAACCCAAATTAATTGATCACTTTAGTGGGTTATCCTGAAAGATAGCAATACACATTGATTAATCATATGTGCCCACAAATAGATTTATTAGATTAAATCCAACAATCTCCCACTTGGGCACCATATGATTCCTTAAATTGTGTATAACCTTATGAGCTCAAAAAATTGCTATCACTGAAAAGGTATTTCCGAACAATCTCGTCCATTGACTATATCAATATAGGATCAAAGCGGCCTTCGTCACATTTATCGTGACTCGACCCATCAATGGTCACATATACCAATACAATCAAACGACATAGATCAATCATGGATGTGCAGCATGAAAATTACATGCAATGTGATCAGTACATGTCTATTTTCAACTGGTCCTCCTTAGTGAGGTCAAAACCAAACATAATGTAACAGAGTGTCTTAACTGAATACTTTATTCTGATCAGACAATACAACCAAACATAAAGCACCACAAATACAAACTCCCACTAAAACATAATATCCTCAAATAATACCACACCCATATGAGCAGTATGCTCATGAAAGACCTTAGGTGGCAATCCCTTAGTAAGAGGATCAGCTATCATGGAGTTTGTCCCAATGTGCTCTATGGATATCTGTCCACTCTGTACCCTTTCTTTCACAACCAGGAACTTAATGTCAATATGTTTTGACTTAGTTGAGCTCCTGTTGTTATTGGAATACATTACTGCAGATTTATTGTCACAATATAACCTTAGTGGTCTTTCAACATTTTCCAAAATGCGCAGTCCCGTGACAAAATTTCGCAGCCATATTCCCTGATTGGATGCCTCATAGCAAGCTACAAATTCTGCTGCCATAGTGGAGGAAGCTACTAGTGTTTGTTTGACACTTTTCCATGATATAGCTCCTCCTGCTAACATATAAATGTAGCCTGATGTAGACTTTCTGCTATCTTGGCATCCAGCAAAATCAGAATCCGAATACCCAATTACCTCTAATTTTTCTGATTTTCTGTATGTGAGCATGTAATCTTTTGTTTTCTGAAGATACCTCATAACCCTTTTGACTGCTATCCAATGATCCATACCAGGGTTGCTTAAGTACCTGCCTAACATCCCAACAATGTACGCAATATCCGGACGCGTACATACCTAAGCATACATTAGACTTCCTACAGCCAAAGCATAAGGAATCTTCTGTATTTCCTGAATTTTAAGGTTATCTTTAGGGCACTGATTGAGACTAAACTTGTCTCCTTTAGTAACAGGGGTGTCACCTGGTCTGCAATCTTGCATGCCAAACCTTTTAAGTACCTTATCGATATAGCTCTTTTGTGATAATCCAAGAATACCCCGAGAGCGATCTCGATGTATCTGGATCCCTAATATAAAAGAGGCGTCCCCAAGATCTTTCATCTCAAAATTCTTTGATAGAAATCTCTTGGTTTCGTGCAACATGCCTATATCATTAGTGGCAAGCAAGATGTCATCGACATACAGAACCAGAAAAATATACTTACTCCCACTGAACTTGTGATATACACAGTCATCAACAATGTTCATCTCAAAACCGAACGAGATAACTATTTGTTGAAACTTATGATACCATTGACGAGGAGCTTGCTTGAGTCCATAGATGGATTTCCTTAATTTGCAAACCATATTCTTTGGGTCTCCTGACACAAAGTTTTCTGGTTGCACCATATAAATCATCTCATCAATGTCTCCATTGAGAAATGCAGTCTTAACATCCATCTGATGTAACTCAAGATCATAATGACCAACAAGTGCCATGATTATTCTGAAAGAGCCTTTCGATGAAACCGGAGAGAAAGTCTCTGTATAATCAATGCCTTCCTTTTGAGTATAGCCTTTAGCCACAAGACGCGCCTTATACCTCTCCACATTACCATTTGCATCCCGTTTGGTTTTAAAAATCCATTTACAACCAATTGGTTTTGCACCTTCTGGTAATGGGACAAGTTCCCAAACCTTATTGTCTTGCATAGACTTGTACTCTTCATTCATGGCATCAATCCACTGTTGAGAGTTAGAACTTTTCATGGCCTGAGAGAAGTTGATTGGATCATCTTCTAACATTCCACTACTTTCCTCATGTTCTTGGAGAAATACAATATAATCATCCGGAATAGCATTTCTCCTTTCTCTCGTGGATCTCCTTAATGGCACTGGTTCTTGAGGTTGTTGAGTTTGTTCTTCTGGAACAGGGAGTTGTTCAACATTATCATCTTGAGGTTCCGGATTTACTTCTTGAGCAACAACAGGTATAGGAACCTGAATATTGTCAAAAGTAACTGTATGGATTGGATCTGAAGCCAATTCCTCCTCAAAACTAATGTCTCTAACCTTATTTCTCCCCCCAAACTCAACATCCTCAAAGAATGTTGCTGTTCCCGTCTCAAAAATATTCCTTATAGTGGGATCATAAAACTTATAGCCCCTAGAGCGTTCAGAGTATCCAATAAAGTAGCTGCTAACTGTTTTGGAGTCCAATTTCTTTTCATTTGGCCTATAAGGCCTTGCCTCAGCTGGACATCCCCAAATATGTAAATGCTTTAAACTGGGCTTTCGACCAGTCCAAAGCTCATAAGGTGTTTTAGCAACTGCTTTACTTGGCACTCTATTCAGAATGTAAGTTGTTGTCTTAAGTGCTTCTCCCCAGAGTGACTCTGGTAAAGAAGAATGAGCAATCATACTTCTTACCATATCCTTAAGAGTCCTATTTTGTCTTTCAGCTACACCATTCATGCTAGGTGAACCCGGCATGGTGTACTGTGGGACGATACCGCATTCCTCTAGGTATCTAGCAAATGGTCCTGGACGTTGTTCACCTGAACCATCATATCTACCGTAGTACTCACCACCACGATCAGATCTGACGGTTTTAATTCTTCTGTTGAGTTGATTCTCAACTTCAGCTTTATAGGCTTTGAACATGTCCAGAGACTCAGATTTTTCATGAATAAGATATAGGTGCCCATAACGTGAGTAATCGTCTATGAATGATATAAAATATTGTTGACCATTCCAGGATTCCGTAGGGAATGGCCCACAAATATCCGTATGTATCAATTCTAAGACATCCGAAGATCTGTTGGCACCTAATCTTTTCACTTTGGTCTGTTTTCCCTTGATACATTCAACACATACGTCGAAGTCCGAAAAATCAAGGGAATCCAAAATGCCATCAGACACAAGACGCTCAACTCTACCTTTTGAGATATGACCCAAGCGCTTATGCCATAATGACGCCGAATTTTCCTTATTTAATTTACGCTTAGTACCACGTGATTCCACATGCAAGGATTCATTATAAGAAGCAATTGTATCGAGCAAATATAGGTTGTCATATGTACTTAAGTAACCAGTTCCCACAGCATTTGAATTAAAAGATAAACTGAATTGATTGTTTCCAAATGAACAAGAATAACCTGATTTGTCCAATACAGAAACTGAAATCAAATTCTGTCTAAAAGACGGTACTACAAAAGTATCTTTTAAATCCAAATAATAACCAATTCCTAACAACAACCTAAAGTGCCCAATTGCTTCCACATCTACCGATTGTCCGTCGCCCACAAAGATGTGTCTTTCAACATCACTTGGCTTTCGGTAGCTCAGGCAACCCTGCATAGAAACACTTATGTGAGTAGTAGCACCAGAGTCTAACCACCAAGTGTTTCTAGGTACTGAAGCTAAATTAACCTCAGAACAGACCAAAGCAAGGAACGTACCCTTATTATCACGCCAGGCGTGATATTTTGTACAGTCCTTCTTTACATGTCCAGGCTTCTTACAGAAGAAACAACCCTGATTATCCTTATGTTGTTTCTTCTCAACTGGACCCTTAGCAGCTTCCTTATCATTCTTCCTTTTCTTGCCCTTATCCTTAGAGGCATAGGCCAAATGAGCACTTTCTGTCTTATCTTGCTTCAACCTGTCTTCTTCTTGCACACAGTATGAAATGAGCTCATTTAGAGTCCATTTCTCCTTTTGACAGTTATAACTGACCTTAAATTGGTTAAACTGTGCAGGAAGAGACAACAAAACCAGATGCACTAATAACTCGTCACAAAGATCGAGTTTAAGTGCCTTAAGCTTTGAAGCAATATGAGACATTTCCATAATGTACTCCCTGATATTTCCTTTGCCCTTATACTTCATTGAAATCAAGCGAGCTAAAAGCGTGCTTGTTTCTACCTTATCGTTTTTCGCAAAACGCTTCTCAATTTCGGCAAGGAAATCTTTAGCCTTAGTAATCCCTTCGGATTCTATGCCCCTGAAGGCTTCCGGAACGCCGCGCTTAATGATCATAAGACTCATGCGATTTGAACGCTCCCACTTCTCATGCTCCTTCTTTGCATCAGGAGTGCTATCCGCATTGAGAGGTTGGGGTTGTTCAGTTCTTAATGCATAGTCAAGATCCATGCAGCCAAGAACAATTAATATGTTCTCTTTCCAAACCTTGAAGTTTGTCCCATTTAGCATGGGAATTGAGTTGATGTTAGCAGAAATTGTTGCAGCAGATGCATTAGCTGAAATAAAACAAAAATGCTCACATCAATAACCATAATCAATAAAATTCAAATAATGACAGTCCCCATCCAAGATATCGGGCACAACATTAATATCAAGTCTTTGGACAGTAATATTAACTTGTAAGTGATACCTTGTTGCAATGATCAAACATTGACAATAACTCATGTCAAATAATGAAACTATCTTTGGATCGATTCATTATTCACATGTAAACCTTATAATTGTCACACGCTTATCATCGCAGATGTGTATACAGTCTAAATAAATATTAACCTTCCTTTGGGCCGATTAAATATTTACACAAAAGCATACACACAAACATCTCACATTCCTCATGAACAATCTACACAATAGAGGTTACTTTGGCAACTTCTTGTTTCAATTAATCAATTGGAGTGAGAGACAACCTTAATTCCTTAGTGTCATTATATTTGAATTAAATAATTGATTAAAAACCAAATTAGATTTAAATTAAAAAAATTAATTTAAATCAACTGAATTTTCAAAAACTTAATTGGGGTCTCACAACTTAATTAGGGCCAATAACTTAATTGAATAAATTAAGTATACCAAAGTGGACCCATGAAAAGCTGAGGCTTAACCATAGTGAACACGAAGTTCGCTTAACTTCGAACGCGAGGTTCGACTGTATTGAGTACGAGACTCACTTAAGCACGAACGTGAGGTTCGTCTGAAAATGAACGAAAGCAAGGTTCGTTTGATAAAAGAACGCGAGGTTCAACTTGGGAACGAACGCGAGGTTCGTTTAAAAAATGAACGCTAGGTTCGACTGAAGCACGAACACGAGGTTCGACTGAAGCACGAACGCGAGGTTCGTCTGAAGCACGAACGCGAGGTTCGTCTGAAGCACGATAAAATTGAGCTTGACGCTCACCTGAGTTGAACGCGAGGTTCACCTTAGAACGAACGCGAGGTTCGTTAAAATTGAGCTTGACGCTCACCTGAGTTGAACGCGAGGTTCACCTTAGAACGAACGCGAGGTTCGTTAAAATTGAGCTTGACGCTCACCTGAGTTGAACGCGAGGTTCACCTTAGAACGAACGCGAGGTTCGTTAAAATTGAGCTTGACGCTCACCTGAGTTGAACGCGAGGTTCACCTTAGAACGAACGCGAGGTTCGTTAAAATTGAGCTTGACGCTCACCTGAGTTGAACGCGAGGTTCACCTTAGAACGAACGCGAGGTTCGTTGAGCGCGAAGCTCGGTTAAAATTGAACGAACGCGAGGTTCGTTTGAAGCTTACCGCTTCGCCAAAATTTGAGGTAACCACCTCCTTAATGTTCGCCACGTTTCACACACGCACGAACCCTTAGGGTTTCAAATTGAAACCGCCGCCGACAAACCCAAAAATCTTTGATTTTTATTTTTAAAACAGATCCAGAATTGGAAAAAATTGAAGAAAAAATCAAAGAAAAATTCCAAAAAGTTACTGTTCATCCGAACAAAAAAATTACTGTTCGTCCGAAAATTTTCGTATCCGAACAAAGAATCTTTAACCAGAGATTTAAGATCAAAAAACCCAATAAAACTTAAATCCCTAAGAATTAATCAATGTGGCTCTGATACCACTTGTTAGATCTGAATCATAAAACTTGAGATCTAAAACCATATAGCCATGATTAATTCAAAGAGATTAACAATAATCAAAAGAGCGGAAGCTTATACCTGAATCCATGGATGAACCTTGAGATGGGTTTTGGATCTTCTAACCTTAGGGTTTCTCTAAATCCGAATTTCTCTAGCTAGATGGGGGTGTAGAGAATTAGAGAATGTAACCCTAGGTTAGGGACCATAACCCCTTATTTATAGATGTTGTACTTTTGTAATTTAGCCCCTCAATAAATCACAATTACAACCTGGTATCTGCACATATAACCCCATGACTTATTTAAATACTCAATTAACCCAAATTAATTGATCACTTTAGTGAGTTATCCTGAAAGATAGCAATACACATTGATTAATCATATGTGCCCACAAATAGATTTATTAGATTAAATCCAACAGGCCTTCCCAAACTAGCCCAGCACGCTGCACGGCGTCCTTCAGGTTGTTGCAGCGGAAGCCAAAAACTTCCTCATATGCAACCTTTAGGTTGATCCAACTGCACGCACGCACGCACGCAGAGTTTAAGCGAACGAGAAAGAATGAGAGGTTTTCTTATGAAGTGATTTCTTGATTGTTCTGAGGTGGAGATCAACACAATCAAAAGTTTGTCACAAACTCGCATCAAGATAGAAGGTAAGAGTAGTTTTTTCATCAATCTGTAAGATATATAAGTAACCCTTTAGATCTATAATTTTTCCTACAGCTAGCATAAACCAACAAAACAGAACAAGATAAATGCTCTCTTAACCAAGTGTTTTACAGTATATTCAGCAAAGCAGAATACAATGTTATCCCTACAAAATGGCTTGTGATCTTGAAAATAAAGCTACATGCCTGGAAATGGCATAACTCATATTTCGGTACAGAGCGGGAAAAAAAGATAAATTTCAGAAAGCTCCCCTTTACTTTGGATGATTGTCAAATAATCCCATCGCCAAATACGTACCCCTTTAATTTAAGTTTAGGTATTATCACAAATCCCGTTTAATTTTAAAATTTTATCTGAAGACCCCCTTAATAGCGCTAACCACAATTGTCACATGGGTGTGGGCAAAATTATGCAAGGCGATTTTTTTTGGGTTCATGCTTTTTTTTGGGAAGTGGGGGGTTGGGGGGGAGCTGTGAGAAACTCTAAATGTTAATGGTGGGTTTCGATAACCCATAAACTTAAGGTGGTTTCTGATATTTTGAAAGTTACGAGGAGTTTCTGGAGAATTGTCCAAAGTCAAAGGGGGTGTCCGCAACAATAGCATTATAAGGGGTCTTATTGGCAGTTGGGTGATAGCACTGGGGGTCTGTCTGCAATTAACCCAAAGAATCTCAAGGCTTACCTGTTAAAGTACAGAGGCTTCCTGATCCCTTTCAGTCTGCATTCAGATTCCAACATTTTACCGCAATCCCAATCGTCCCATGTCACCAAGTCGAAATCGCTGTACTTAACTGCTTTGTTTTCCAACAATTTGTCGTGCAGCAACAGAGCTTCATTCAGAGTAACGCTTCCATCCACCTGCATATTCATAGAACTATCTAAGGCCACTTCCCTTGCTATCTTTTACCAGCACATTTCTAGATCCCCCCCTGACTGAACTTTTTGACTCTCGGGACTATATTGTTATGGAAATAGACAACAACCCCCCAACCCCCTCCAAAAAGAAACCCGAACAAAAATAAAATAAAATAAAATAACCCCGTACTGACTCTCAATTGCGGGTAGACCCCATGTAGTTCTATTGTTGTAGGTAAACCCCGTGAGTGAACTTTTTTTGACTCTTTTACACTCTCAGAAAAGAGCGAAAAAATTCGCGGAATAGATCCTGTGGGTAAAATAGTCGCAAGATTTTCAGTCGGGTGGCCTATCAAGAATAAATAGGATATTCTCGAGGAACCAGTTTCATACCCAGGCACATAAAGAGGTTACACTTGCAAAGGCAATACTACAGAACTGGAATATCTGATAGACTATTGATTTCTTGGTCTGATAAAGTGGTACGAAGTATGTCATTTGATCACAAAATACAGCCAGTGTTATGGATTAGCTCAGTGACGGAACCATAACTTTAGGGTAAATTCTAAAAAAATTTGCCTTCATTTTACCCTGTTTTCCAAAGAAAATGACAAACGTTACCTAAAAAACAAGATTTCGATGAAGAGACATTTTGTAATTTAGCCTGTGGTACAACCGAGTGAAAAGAGTTCGCAGAAATCCTTACCAGAACTTGTTGTGCGCGGCGGAAGCTTTCTAGGGCAACACGAACAATAACTCGAACTAAACCACAAACAATATGCAAATCACAATCACAGCAAGAACACACAATTTACGTGGTTCGGCAAGTTGCCTACGTCCACGGGGCAAGGAGGGGGGGGGGGAGTTCTTTCTACTAGAAATCAAGAGAATACAAATAGGGTTACAAATCTCTCAGACCAAACCCTAAAACAAAGCTCTAGATCTCTCAAAGCTCTCTCACAATTGGATGCAATGATTCTCTCTCTTTGGCTACTCAAATTTGTCCCCCTCTCTCCTAAACAAACAGGTTTAGGTATATATAGAACTTACAAAATGAACCGGGTCGAAAACCTGAAAGCCCAGCCCAAAACAGCGTCGGTCGACCGGCACGGTCGACCGCGATCAATTCCGGCCGACCGGTCCGGTCGACCGACCAGCTCCCAGCAGAAAATCCAAAACTCCATTCTTCACCTCGGCGAATGTTTCCACCAAAACTGAGCCGACACCAAACCATCCAATAGTTCCTCAACAGGTCCAGGAACAATACTCGAGCTGAAACACGATCTCCCCCCATCTTGATCAACTGATCAAACCGGCTGCATCTAAAGACTGCCTACGTATCCTCTTGCCCAAGGAATCAAGCCGAACGTAGTTCACCCAAATGGCCTCCAAAGGCCCTCAACACTGAAGAATGTTCAATACCTTCATACAATGACCAAATTTCATACTTGAAGCAACTTTGGTCAACATATCTGCATGGTTGTCATTTGTGTGGACCTTCTCTAATATGACATCTCCATCATCCAAGACGTCCCGTACAAAGTGGAATCTGACGTCGATGTGCTTCGTGCGCGCATGATAAACCTGGTTCTTCGCCAAATAGATAGCCGACATACTATCACAATATATCCGAATCGTCTCCTGAGCAATCCCCAAGTCCTCCAATAATCCACACAACCATAAAGCCTCCTTGATAGCTTTAGTAACTGCCATATACTCTGTCTCTGTAGTAGAGAGAGTCACTGTGGACTGAAGCGTACAACGCCAACATACAGGTGCACCTGCCAATGTAAAAGCATATCCTGAAGTAGACCGGCGTTTGTCAAGATCTCCAGCATAGTCTGAATCCACATATCCAATACAAGCCTGCCCATCCTTCTCATCCTTCTGAAATACTAAACCAACATCCACGGTGCCTCGAACATACCGTAGAATCCACTTCACGGCCTCCCAATGACCCTTCCCGGGGTCGTGCATGTATCTCGATACCATGCTCATGGTCTGTGACAAATCTGGCCTCGTACACACCATCGCATACATCAAGCTACCTACTGCACTTGCATATGAGACCTTCGACATATAATCTCTGTCCTCAACTGAAACGGGTGATATCAACGCTGAAAGCTTGAAGTGGGGAGCCAATGGTGTGCTAACTGCTTTTGCATTGCTATCAAAGCTGAATTTCTTCAACATCTTCTGCAAGTAACTCCTCTGTGTAAGCTTCAATTTCCCCTTCACCCTGTCTCGCTCGATCTCCATACCCAATATCTTCTTTGCCTCTCCAAGATCCTTCATCTCAAACTCGGATGATAACTCCTCTTTCAGCTTTCGAATAGCCGAAGAATTCCTGGAAGCAATAAGCATATCATCAACATATAAAAGCAAATATATGAGCTCACCATCCTGTAGCTTGTGCATATAAACACATGGGTCATATGGGCTCCTCGTGTACCCTCGGCCAATCATAAAGCCGTCGAATCTCTTATACCACTGTCTTGGTGACTGCTTCAAACCATAAAGAGACTTCTTCAGCTTACAAACCAAATTTTCCTTTCCTGCAGCTTTAAAACCCTGTGGTTGTGTCATGTAGATCTCCTCATCTAAATCACCGTGTAGAAAGGCTGTCTTCACATCCATCTGGACCAAATCCAAATCCAACTGTGCCGCTAACGCTAATAAAATCCGAATCGACGAATGCTTCACAACGGGTGAAAATACCTCGTTGTAATCAATGCCCTCAAGCTGTGCATATCCCTTGGCAACTAATCTGGCTTTGAACCGAATGTCCCCAATAGAAGATCCCTCCTTCTTCGCATATACCCACTTGCAACCAATAACTTTCTTACCCTTAGGTAGATGTGCAAGTGTCCAAGTGTCGTTCTTCTGAAGAGACCGCATCTCCTCCTCCATAGCTTCCCTCCACCTGATCGAATCGGGGCTAGACTCTGCCTCCCTGAATGTGGCTGGAACCATATCATCAACGACCTCCACTGATAATGCATATGCGACCATGACATCATTATACCTAGCTGGCCGACGAATCTCTCTCCTCGGTCTATCTGCTGCAATGCGATATCTCTCCTGTCTGGTCTCCCTCTACCTGCTGAGGGGCTCGAGGCCTCATCATGTACGCCTCGTCAAATGTGACATCTCTGCTAATAACTATCTTCTTGTCCTGTGGATCCCATAACTTGAAGCCTTTGACTCCATCTCTAAATCCCACAAAGACTGCTTTCCTCGCTCTCGGATTTAATTTACCATCACTGACATGATAATAAGCTGGACACCCGAATATCCGAAGCGACTCATAGTCACTAGCCTCCGAACCAAACCAACGCTCCAAAGGAGTCTTCCCGTCTATCGCAGTGCACGGCAACCTGTTCACGAGATGGCTTGCATAAACTAATGCCTCGGCCCAAAAGGATCTAGGCAATCCACTCTGCGTCATCATACACCGCACCTTCTCCAGCAAGGTACGGTTCAATCTCTCAGCCACCCCGTTCTGTTGCGGTGTCTCTCGAACTGTGAAGTGTCTTTTAATGTCTTGATCCCGGTAAAACTGTAGAAACGGATCACTCTTGAACTCTCCACCGTTATCTGAACGTAGAGTCTTAACCTTTCTACCTGTCTGTAGTTCTACTTTCTTCTTCCACTCCACAAAAATATCCAGGACCTGATGTTTATGCTTCATCGGGTATACCCAATTCCTCCTGGAATAATCATCAATGAAAGTGACAAAATAGTTGGCCCCACCAAGAGATGTGTTCTTGGAAGGACCTCAAACGTCTGTGTGAATATAATCCAATGTACCTAGGGTGTTATGAATAGCGGTGCCAAACTTCACTCTAGTCTTCTTCCCAAGTACACAATGCTCACACAACTCCATCTTGCAGGTCTTAGCACCTTTCAATAGCCCCTGTTTAGCCAATGACTGTAGGGACTTATCTCCTGTGTGTCCAAGTCTCATGTGCCATAAGGTGGTAGTGTCCTCCTCTATAGTGATAGAAGCTGCCAGACCCCCTGTAACTGTCTTGCCCTTCAAGTAGTATAGGTAGTTTTCCCTGACACCTCGCATCACCACCATGGAACCCTTCGTGACCTTCACTGTAGCATCCTCTAAGATCACTCGATATTCTGTAGGGTAATGAATTTCATATTAGCAAGAGTAGGTGAGGTCATACAAAGATTATCAAAGCTAAGGTAAGTAGTATTAATTATTCACTCGAAATTTTATCTAAAATGGCATTATTAATAATGTCAACAACTTCATTTCTTGCTGTTAATATAGCACGTACACCCAAATGTTTAGGATCGGAATAGTTTTGCAGCAAAGACGGATAAGTAGCCGAAATAACTTCCTCAGTAGGATCTGCCTCAGCATGTATTAAGAACTCTTCAGGTATTTTAATAATCGAATCCTAACCATCACAACACTCATTGGACATGTTTGGTAAAGTACCATTACCAATTTGAAGGACCCAATCACTAAAATCTTCTGTTGACATTGAGGTAGATGCCCCCCCTCTTGTTCTTGCAGCCTCATATTCTTTGTAAGTCTTAAGGCTCTACATTCACTCCAGAGATAGGAATGACCGATAATGCATGCACGATATCATGCTTAGATCCTTTAGGGACTGCAGGTAGGATCTGTCTAAAGTTTCATTGTCTTTGCATGTTTGTGCACCAAAGGGGCTTCATCCGAGATGATCAAACTTGTTTGCTTTAATAAATCTGCTTTAACACTACCCTGTCTAATCCCACAAGTAGATGTATCTTTCAGGATGATTGGTATCTGAAATCTAGAATGAGAAGTTCTCCCTTTGGTAATAAGATGGATGTTATGCCTGATGAAGCAGAGGGCAAAACAAAATTCTACCTTCAGACAGTAATTTTGATATAATTGCTTTCCACACGTATGTTTTACCAGTTCCGCCGTGTCCATAAAGGAAATATAACCCTCCAGTTTTGTTATAGGCAGATTGGATTATAGTATCATAAACAATATTTTGATCAGAATTCATACCTTCAACATATTTTTCATTTTCCTTTCTTGATTCTTCTCTGTCAAAATTAAGTTCTTCACTGATAATTTTATCCCTGCAGATTTTCAAGAGATCTCTATCAGGTAATGGCATCCCATGGAAAATTTGTAGACTTTTTCCATTCTGTAGTAAGAGATATTGCATATCTACTTGTTGTGCGCGGCGGAAGCTTTCTAGGGCAACACGAACAATAACTCGAACTAAACCACAAACAATATGCAAACCACAATCACAGCAAGAACACACAATTTACGTGGTTCGGCAAGTTGCCTACGTCCACGGGGCAAGGAGGGGGGAGTTCTTTCTACTAGAAATCAAGAGAATACAAATAGGGTTACAAATCTCTCAGACCAAACCCTAAAACAAAGATCTAGATCTGTCAAAGCTCTCTCACAATTGGATGCAATGATTCTCTCTCTTTGGCTGCTCAAATTCATCCCCCTCTCTCCTAAACAAACAGGTTTAGGTATATATAGAACTTGCAAAACGAACCGGGTCGAAAACCTGAAAACCCAGCCCAAAACAGCGTCGGTCGACCGGCACGGTCGACCGCGATCAATTCCGGTCGACCGGTCCGGTTGACCGACCAGCTCCCAGCAGAAAACCCAAAACTCCAGAGAACCCCTCGGTCGACCGCACCGGTCGACCGACCACCTTCCTGACGCACAGTAAGCTTTGTGCACGAATGCGGTCGACCGGACCGGTCGACCGCCGTCTGGTTTGCCTGATTCTTCTGAGTTTCTGTAATTTCTTCAGAACTAAATTTGAATAACAAAATTAAAAATTTATGCCACAGAGAATGCTTAACGAATGCAACAGGACAAGTCGATTCGCATAGAGCGGAAAAAAGAGGGTTAATTGTGGATAAACCCCCTGTACTATTGCCCAAGTGTCGTTACCCCCTGAGTGAACTTTTTCGACTCTTAAAAGAGTCGAGAACAATAGAACTACAGGGGTCTCTGCAGTTAATGCAAAAAAAATTAGCATGAATCCAAGTTCTTCACTATAAAGCCAAGATACTGAAAATAGATAGGTTAGAACAACCTTTTGTTGCTGTATACCAGTAAGCTTTTTGCAATAATTAGTCAGAATCGGATGGTATTCGGGCTGCACATATGCTTGAAATGCTGCTTCAGTTTCTCCAGTCCAACCACTAACTATAACAGATGAGAACTCAATGATTTCTTGAGGTTTTAGTTTCACTAGTTTTTACACACGTGCAATGCACGTGATTTAATACCATGATTAAGTATTTTTGACAATTTGTGCTTATTTTTTTCTTTAAACTCTTACATCCAAATTATTTTTTTATGTTTGTTTAAATGGGATACACCCAATTTAAATTTTCATATTGATATTTGAATTGACAAAAAACAAATATAATTTAAAAATAATTTAAAATTTCATATTATTTTTGACCGATAGGAAACTAAGCTTTATTTGAGAAAGTATAGCATTGCAAAGTGAAAAATATTAAAATAGTGTTATACAAAGAAGGTGAATATTTAAAACCAATATAGCAAAATGATTGATTTAAAGTATGTTAAAACGATGCAAAAGAGAATATGAAGTTTATTCCTAATCATTGATAGACTTCATAAAAAAATATAAATTAAAGATTAATGCTAACTCTAGTATACTTTTATATGATAAAAACATCCACATAAGAATATAAAAGTACTAAAAATTTTTTATGAAACTCCCTTCTAAAGATTCCTAATTTCACTCAAAATAATTAAACTATTCTATAAAATATTCAGAAAATATTGTTTTTTATTTCGTCTATTTTATTTTTTATTGAGTTAAGATCAATCCTTCTTCAGGTTTATCATTTATCATTTCTCGGGTAATTCTAGAGTATTGTCTTTATCATCTACATCAATTATGACATCAGGCCAATTTTATATATTTTTTATGGTATTATCTTTCCTGGGCTCGTTAATTTTTTATCATCTCATTTAACTTTACAAAGAAGTCAAATGTACTTATGATGTTCAACACAAACTGCTCAAAATATAGACTTTGATTTTTTTTCTATTTCAATGAGAATAAATATTAATTTCATATATATAAAATTCTTTGTGTTCCTAATTTATTACTTAAATAAATTAGAAGCTATCTCTTTATTTTCCTCTAAAATGAATTCTTCTGATGTGCATCCAATAAGAATTTCTGTTATTTCAATAATATTACCTTTGCTCTATCCCTGTCATTTTCCATAAAGATCTAAACTAAATACCTGCATTATTCATTACCAATTTCTCTTAGATTATAATATTAATATTTAATTTGAAGAACACAGTATGGAATTTATGAATACTTACTAATTTTTCTTATGTCTTCCATGGAGATTTTTTCTTTGATTAGGATAAAGTTATTAAATTATTTTTTAATGTAACTCATTCAGTGCTTCATTAATAGATATGTCTTATGTTAATGCCAATTCAAGTGATTCATTGACGTTTTCTGAATTTTAGATTTATTTCCATCACTTTCCCATTTGCAATGGAAATAACTCAATTCTTTTAAAGTTATCTCTAAATATTCTAATAGTTTCTCCATATGTAATTCCTTGTATTCTTTTACCCTATAAATATTATTAACGTCAAAGATTAAAGTTTCTAAATTAAAATCAATTAATGCTAAGGTATAATATTATAGTGTTTTATCATTTCTATGGATTTAAACATCTATCAATTAATGTTACGAATGTATTTTGGCTACCCCAACTTATTACTAAAATTATATGAAATTACTTTAATTTATATAGTGCCGATAATTTTTAATCTATAATATTTTTAAAAATTTTATCCATTAACCGGATGTTTTTAATCAATTCTTATTGTTTTTGTTTACCAGTATCAACTTAGACTATTCTTAGATGCTGAAAATGGATAGTAAATCCCTAAATTAGAAATTTTAATATATATATATATATATATATATATATATATATATATATATATATATATATATATATATATATATATATATATATATATATATATATATATATATATATATATATATATATATATATATATATATATATATATATATATATAT